TATTCTTATTCTTTTTTAATCAATATAATTATATCGTCTAACTCATTAGGCATTATCATTATTTGTTTTGATTTATTATGATGATTTTATACTTACTTCAACACAATATAATGTGTTCAAATGAACAAAATACTTTTTATCAGTTTATCGTGGTCCCTCGCTGCTCAAACGTGTATCACTCGTTAGTTCTGGTTAGAATATGACTATAGCAAGCCAACTTGTATAATATTATTAACTCACGATTTTGAAACGGATTTTGTTTCCTAAACAACTTTTCTGTGCAACAACATGTACACAACAATACCACCGTGAACAGGGTTCACGTGGAGTTTAATGGCTTTTGCTCTTGTTAATTTCAATTAAAATGTAAATGAAAGTCGTGATTTTTTTTTTTTTGGTTACAACTCCAGAGTAGATTTCGTCACAAAATGAGTAGATTATTGTTGATGATGTTTTTTACCAGTTTAATGACAATTTACAATTATTATTTCAAACATCGATATCGAAATACCTAACACATCAAATAACTCACTATAATTATTGAAATGTGTGATTTAGTATAAACTAGACAAAAGTCGGAAATAATAAATCACAACTTTTTTGTCCTCAAAATATGTTTATTTATGAATTAAAATTTGATTTTTCGTAGTAACATTATATAAATACATAAATATGTTACTAATGTTATAAAAAAAATTATTTATTGAAATATAAAATTCTTGGTGAGCAATTTTAGGATTTGGTATAGAATGTCAGTATTTTTAGTTAATAAAATAAGTACTAACATTTTTGTTGATAAGTTCAATAAGATTATCAAGGTTCATAATGGTAATTCATTTTCAACTTATTTTCGTCAGTGTTAAATTTGAAAACGTTATCAAATAATATTTATAATATTAATTAGTACCTTAACATTAATTTGGTTACACGACCTATGTATAATTAGTAATTATTATATTAGTACCTACCTAATACCTATCTCAGATGAAAAACAAAATAACAACATAAATAATTATTAATAACAGTAACATTTCTTTATTTAATTTAATACTACATGATTAATATTAGTTAAATTACTATGCAACTCCAAAATGAATTATGACTAGTAGGTAATTCATAATTTTATCAGAAACTATAGTTACCTACTACAATAAATGTCACAGCGAACGAGCCACGGGGGTTTTTAATCATATTATAAAAAAATGTTAGAAAGTAGTAGAGGTTTTCTAAAAGCCTTTTTAATTTCTACATTATAAATGATAATAAAAATACCTTTTTCCATCGTATTTAATTTAACAAAAATAATATATTTCTAATGTCACTTTATTTGGTAACTTCACTACGGTACATTTGAGATTCATAGTACAACTGAGATCTTCGTTTTGTTTTTCTCTCTTAGTTTTCGAGAATTTAACTTCTAGCGGGCATGGGTACACAGTATATTTTGAAATGATTAATGTTGTAAAATATAAAAAAAACTATGGTTAATATTTTTTGTAAGTTATTAATTTTATAATATAAAGCTAAGGTGGATTTGTATATGTTGGTAGGTTTCCCTTTTTATAAGAAAAAATGTAAAAATATTAATTTGTTCGTGAAAGTGTACCTCAGAAATATACAAGAATAATAATATTTTGAACTTTGTGATAATGTTGTAATAATATAGAAATATAACAATATAATAATATACATTAATTAAGAATTTCATTAACCCATAAGAGCACATAAAATATGTAAGTATATTACGCTTTTGAAACATTACATTATTTTATTTATTTTATGATGTTTGACATAAATTTAAAATCTCTGTCTTTCCGAATGAAATGTATTGTATAAGTTTTGTTTTACGTCTATTTTTTTTTTTTTTTTTGACACTTTTTCAAACCCAATATACTTTCTAGTTAAAAATATCGTTGGTAATAAAATTATATAATACTCATGTGCCTCTAGTTAATAAACAATATTACCGGCACTGTAAGTAAACCAAATCGTTGAACTAATTATTTGATTGTGACTATCAGAATGTAGGTATAATTCGTTCAATAATATACTAGTATTGGTGTAGTTTCGATACTTTATTTAAAAACTTCAGTAGCTATTTAACGGATGGACAAACGTTTGTAACATGTACAATACACGTCTCTGGATTTTATTACAATCAAAACCATATTTTATTTTATTGACACGTTTTATTGCATATCTGTGGTAAGGGTCGTCTCGCACCGGAAAATATATATAATCCACTAGGGCAATAGTTTATTATTAAAAGTCCGAAATGAAAATCAAAAAGGTTTTACCACCCTTGTCGCCCTTCTTGGCCCATAAACAATGTAAAATATCCCAAAAGGAAACACCGTAACTCTTTGGTTTGGTAAAGCTATTTTTGATGTTAACATTAAACCTCAAAAGAGAATCGAATAGTAATAACCAAAGAATTTACCATCAATAAATATCAAATTAGTTGAATATTTATTGTGTATGTTTTTATAATTCACACACATTTTAAATAATTCATACATTCTTATTTAGTATAGGTTTTCTTATAAAAAATTATGCGGATATAATATCCACGCTTACTAAGTAATATTCTAAATAAATGAATTATTATGCTCTTATGAGTCTAATTTTATTACGAGATATTCATAATGAAAGACTTAGAGTACACTAAAAACGTAATTAGTGATGAAAAAAATTGAAATTAAAAATGTTGTAATTTTACATTTTCGTCCTAATAATATATGAATTTCTTAACATGTTTTATTTTTTTTTATCATCATTGTTTATATTTAATACACAAACAACTTACATATGTAGATACTAACATTCGTTAGCCGATTGTTTTTATATTCATTTATCGTCGTCTTTTATTCCATATTTATGCTATAACTTATAAGTTTTATGAAATCCTTTTAATCATTTTTAAATCGTCAGAAAAATTATTTTTAGATATTATTAAACATTTAATATTTTCTTATTATTCTTGTTATTGTTTTTATTTATGATTAGAAAAGTGAGGAAATGTTTTAAAACTATTGGCTTCACATTTTTGTCCTAGGTATATTTTTTATGTCAAATATCTGCATAGAATTTATACTATATCAGTACCTAGTCAATAATTCACCCAAATATAACATCATAGATCATAATAATATGTACTATTTACATATACATACCAAGAGAATATTTTAAAATAGTTTGATATATTTTTAAGTAGAAATCAAAAAAATAATACTAAAAACTGTCAAGTGTATAGTTGAATAAAGTTTCTTCCTTTAAATTTAATCAATTTTATAAAAAATTATGTACATTATGGGATAGGTATATCAAAACCGCTTCGACTTTTTAGTTGAAATAAGAAAATGATTTATTTTTGCAACATGAATGTATTTTACCCTACTTAAGGGAAAGGCGTTACTATTTAATAGATGGTTCTAGAAGTTGAGAATAAAATTGTATCTAAAAATAATACAGGCTATTAATAAACTCCACAAAAAAATAATAACAATCATAAGTCAATATTATTATGCACGGGCTTGTAAAATGTTTGATATAAAATATGATTTATTCATATAAAAACATAAACGAGCTCCACTCGGAATCTCTTTTGGTTTTGAATATATTAATTCATCACTGGATTTCAAATTTTAAACGTCGAGGATACCCATCAAAATGTAGCCTAATATTTATTTTAATAGTAATATCATTCGAGTAATTGTTAACCACTAATCAAGTAATTTGAAAATGGATATAATTATAAGCATTTCAACATAATCCTGGTCTAAAGCTTATATTTTACACTCTGCAGGGCCATTATACAAATAACATATAGATGGTGGACTCACGATTTGTACCTACAAACAACGAACGATCATAATGGCATTATGATAGGAATATAAATATATAGACCTCGTTAAGAGCTTAAATAAAACTATTAGAAAATTACAAATAAACTCTAAACGATTTGTCATTTGTATTCAATATAGGTTCAAGTATTGCCTCGTTGAAGTAAAAAACAAGTAAACTGAATCCATACACTTTGAATTCAATGGTTTAACCGGTTTTTACTTTTTAGTGTTCAATGAACTCCCATAAAAATAGCCGTATTTAAAATATTTTTCACGGTGTTTATTTTATTACTATACCAGTGTACGATTGTGCTAAGCTTTAAAAACTTGCTAAATGGATTTGAGGTAGAATATAATAACTACAATTAACTTAAAATTGTATTATCATTTTAGTGTACAAAAATCTCTAACTTTTATAATATGTATTACACTGTGTGGTGTTATGCTAATGAATCAAAATAAATTAAAGCGAAAAAGGTTTAAACAGCAACCCATTTTTATGCACGTTACTCACATAAAATGTACTTTATTTACGACTTTAATCCCCACAACTTCATGTACGTCGACCGAGAGGAGGACACACCAGCGCAGAATGTTAGGCAAAGATGGGATTTTAATTTGGAATAATTTAATTTGAAGGCGGTGTACTGGGGAAGCAGTATGTTGGAAATGCAGTATTTTTACTCGACTCTCGTTAGCCGTAAAATGTACATTAAGTTGCCACTCTACTTTCCATTTTATCATTTCTAAAAAAATGTTTTTCAATGAATATCATCACATACGATATAAGTGTTCCATTTATATTCAAAAATGTTTTCCGGTAAAAAGTTGCACTATCTTACAATTAAAAATGCTTTCATTTTTCAGGCTTAAATGCTAATTTTAATGTATTAAATATAAAAAATGTATCCGATGCCTAATGACAAATATTTAAATTTATTTCAAAATAAATTGTTTAATAGTACATGGTATAGTTTTGTTTTTATGGACTATTTGTATGACGTTATGGTGTGTGGGTATTACTTCTATCACATGAATTCTAAATACTAAATAAATTCTCTAGTATTGTTTAAACTCTTTAAAACACACGGAAAAAAAAGTTGCCTATAGTTTGGTTGTAATGATTATTATGATCAATGATATCGTATTTTATGCAGCAAATGGGAATAAATAAAAAATATTTACTCACACATTTCTTTTGTGTTTATGTTACAGAAGAAGATATTGATGAGTTCAATATACACGTATCGAGGTACAGACCAGAAGAGTTAACAAAGCTCACAAAAATCACCAAGTTCAATAAAAAAGAAATTCAATTAATTTATAGAGGTTTTAAACAGGTATGTTTCTAATAAAATATTAAAGACAGTTTGATATTTTTTTGGATAGGTACTTTGAGGCAGCATTGAAAAAAAAGTATTTTAAAATCTCAATTATTAGAAGTAGATGACTAACAAAGGAAAACATTTTTCTTACGTCAATGCATTTTCTTAAGACATAATGATTAATGATTAATAGCTCAGTAATGCCGAGTTTCAAAGATAAAAGCATAAAGCCCATTGCATTAATTAAGTTACTCATCTATATAATAATAAAGAGTGTTTTTGATTACTTATAAACAATGTTTATTTTTGGCGTACACAAATGTGTAAATCTATTAAGATTGTTAGATTTAAATTTTAACTAATTGTTGGTAAAAAAAAAAAATAGGTATAAATTTGCTTTTATATTATTTAAAAATTATTTATTTAGATACTCCCATCAATATTATAAAGATATTTATTTTAACTAATATGTGATTTAAAAAATTTAATTTTTAAAGTATAAGTTGCTTTTATTTTTAAAATAACCTCCTATTATTTTTTTTTTGCTCTATTGTATGAATTTCTGAAAAATTACAAAGGAATTTGAAGAAAATAACTTTTCTAAACTACATATTATTTTCAATTCAATTTTAAATTGAAAATGTCCCACATGAAACTTTATTAGTTTTTTAACTGCCAAAACTGTTATTCTCTAAAATAAATTGAACAAAAATCATAAGTACAGTATTACAGTAATTGAAAACCGTAATTTAATACCACTTTAGTTTATACAATATATTTTGATTATTTTACTTTGAACGTAAGAAGACAATGGTTGGTGTTTATCAACGATTATCTTAGTTTAAATAGGTCTCTAGAGAGAAATTTTGTTTTCATGAACTTTTTAATTTTTAGAACAATATTGGCAGATATGTCTGTCAATATTTATGTTTAAGTTAAAAAAAACGATACACCTAACACAAATACATTCATGTATCTACTTACCTATTGTCAAACACTAGGGTTTTACAAATTAGAAATATTTAACCTTTCAAAGTCTTAAACTCTTAACTATGATTAGTTTTGTTAAGTTTTTTTATAAATGCATTTCTTTAAGTATAAAACTAATATATATCTTTTACTTTAGGAGTGTCCTACTGGCATGGTAGATGAAGATTCATTCAAACACATATTCTCGCAGTTTTTTCCCCAAGGTGGTTAGTAAATAAATTAATGTATATTTTAGAAAAATATGTTTTATTAAATATTTTTACCACACGATATATTTTCATACATGCATAATAGCCGGTAATAATAAATTATAAGGTCATAAGGGGGAAAACATAACATTAATAAATATATGAAGTTTACTGGCTGTATGAATACTCAATACAATTATATGTATTATTTAAATATAATTTAGATCATTTTTCCACGGTAAGTTCCGTGAGAGTGTATATCAAAACTTTCATTTCTATGCTATACTTATTTATAATTTAGATGAATAATAATCAACTTATTAAATCAATATACCATAAATAATATTAAAATCCATCAGTCATCCATTTTTTTTTTTTTTTTGTCGTCTTATTGGTCTGAATCATTAGTATTATTATTAATCATTCATTTTCAAATCACTTATACACAAAAAAATATTCACTTTTGATATACAATAGCATAGATACTTAACAAAAACAAAATAATAAATTATTTAACAACACCGTCATTTTAAATTTCACGTTCCTCTATTTTTTAGATTCTGAATATACCGAGAGGCTTATCGGTTTTTAAATTATATGTGATTTTTATTTTAAACATCATAATTTGTATTATTAATTGGTTCCTACTTATTATTTGAATCAATTGTCAACTATAAAATGTGCACCTTATATAACTATTTAATATTAATTAAAATACCTATTTTTCAATCTGATTAAGTTTAGATAATTTATGTACAACGTTTATTTTAGATGCTTCACAATATGCCCAATATGTGTTCAATACAATCAAGAGAAATCAAACTGGAAAAATTAGCTTTGAGGTAATTAAATTTTACTTATAAAGTTTTAGCTGTAAAATAAAATTGATTTGTAGTATTAATACCGAATTACCATATAAATGAAATGATTAAATCATAAATAGAATTAATCTGAATATTTATAAAGAACTATGAGCTAGATGCACACAAAGTTAGGTATAAATTAAAACATTTCCTGAGCGAAATAAATTTAATTAGGTACCAGATTTCCGTAAAACACTTATACAGTTATATGCACTAATAAATTCACAACATTAAAAGTAATGATTACAAAACAAGAATGCAATTAAAAACTATGCCAAATAAAACATAGTATAATATTATTAGCCTACAGTAATAATATGAAGTGTACTTATTGCACTTGTTGCACATACTGTATCTAAAACAAACTATTTCTTTACTTTTATTTTAAGTTCTCTATTACGTGCTTTTGGTACTTATTTATAGGGCGATTGTATGCAATTTATACCATATACAATTTTATGATAATATATCCTGAATTATTATAAAAAATGTGTTAGTACAATTCAGAAAATAGCTGTTAAGTACTTACAAATTTGGAAATGTGTTACTTAAGATTTTTTTTTCTAAGAAAACTGAATATCAAGGTGAATTAATTTTTCAAATAACAATTTTAAAGAAAAAAAACGTTGGTATATCTTTGTGGTTACTTTTTCTCTCCTATCTATCACGCACAAAATTGCACTTTTGCATTGTCGATTTTGTTGAAATCTTTGCAAAATAATTTACTTGTATTTTTATTCTTAACGGGTATTTTTTTAAAATTTATATTGTCGATCAAAAGGTCAAAAGAAAACTTTTTTAATTTATCTCAGAAAGGACAATGAACAGAAAATACCTGAAGTTTCTTATCAATGATTTTTAACCATTATGATGGGAAAACCTTTTTAATGCCCTTGTCCAATAATTGTAGTATTAACGTGGACCTTGATGCCTTTGAAAGACTATTGTCAAGTTATGAAATAGTTTCAAGATGAACTAAAAATATCTATTTAAGAAAACAACTATGTGTTATATAATATATTATAAAAAATAATGAGTTATATAATACATCCATGTATAGAAACAATATTACTAAAAATAAAAATAATACAACTAATAAGTCTTGAAGTTGGGTAAATACAAATTATAAAAAATAGATACAAATGCAAATACAATTTTTAATAATAAAAAACAATTTATCATTGATGTTGGGTATTTAATTTTTTAATTTTCTAATACTTTCACAGTTATTATAAAATTAATTAAAACGTAATAATTGTTATTTTTTCCAACGTTGTATTTACATATTCCCCATTTTTTTTTTAATTACCCCACTTCACTTAAAAACGAATCAATGATTAAGCTATATAATAATTTTTTTAAATGTATTTTGATGGATTATATATAACTGTATTCATATTTTTTTTTTTTTTTTGAACTAATAAATTAGAGACATTTAAATAATAATGCTTGAAAGCCGCTAGTGATATTAACCATTGCAAATAATATATTTACAACAAATGTCTAATGGTAGGTATTGGTGTGCTTTTGTGTTTTATTTAATTTCCATTTCTTTTTACTCAAATTTATACGATCGTCAACTCACACAGTTCTGTACAAAAATAAACTTTATAATACATTTTATATGTGCTACCTAAGTACTCAATAATAACCCAAAGGAATTTCAATTTATTTTTACGATATTTTTATTTTTTTCAATAAATAACTATTGTCTAGATTTTAATACTCTCTCGAAGGCTTGAAATTCCATCGAGGTCGTATACCTATAAACATTTTAATACTACATAACTGCAGTCAATAAATATAATAAAAATATAACTTCATGATATTATTATACATAGGTAAGTTGTTAGTTTATATTTGCAATGGCTTATAAATTCTATATTATTTCAAATTTATACATTCCAAATTTGAATGATTAATAAAATGATTTTTCATTGTGATTTTGATAACTAAATAATAGTAGGCAATAATCTTATTTCTGTTTTATAAAGAAGAAGAAGAATTTTGTAATTTAAGCCTTTAATCAAATAAAAAAAAAAGAAGAAGAAGAAGAAGATTAAAAACACAATAATTATTAAAAGAAATCGATTAATGAAAACAAATACCTACCTATAGATATAGTATGTATATTATAGGTATTCAGTATAAATAATTCATATCTATTTTAATACTGAAATAGATATATTATAATAATATAATATATTATACAAAAAATGTTCTGAATACTTATATTATGGGTTTAGTGTAAAATACTGAAATCTAAAAATATTAAATAAAATGTATTGTACTTCTTTCATTTTAATATAAATAAAGTGTTCACTAATTTAAACAAACTTAGTGTAAGATTATATGATTAAAATTAAATATAATCTGCTTGAATAATTTATTTATTCTTATTTTGGACAATTTTATTTCATTAAAAACTATTTTTGGCCATGAAGTTTTAACTAATTAAGGAAATCTTAATAATATTATTATCTCTACCGACCTTATTTTATTTATTAATTTAAAATTTAAAAATATTTGAATTAGTTTTTCTAGCGTAATAAAAAACTAAAGACAAATAATTTATTGCAATCATTACCTATTGTAAAATGTACGGCATATTTGTTACTAACGAAATCAAAATAATAATAAAATCGAGAATTATATTTTGTTAAGTATTACATTGGTGTTAAATAATTAATTACTCAATTTCGTTTTTGAGAAAGTTTTTTTAATCAGTACCAAACTCAAAATTTAGACAAAAAAACGTATATCTACTCACAATATTTAAAGCTAATAACCATTACACTCCCAGATCTATTTTTCAAATGTGGTTATATTTTATCATTGAATTCAAATTTATAACCACTATTCTACGACGGGTTAAGCGAAGCGAGACGAATTCCCAATAGCCGGTATCTATAGTCTGTATATCCTGTCACAGCTTAGTTAAATGATGTATACAATAACTAAAATCAATAAATATAAGTAAGGACTCATATTGAATGAACGAATGAACCCATTAATATTTAAGGATAGTCGTTAAATATGCGATGGATTTCAATATTTTCACTACATTACCATAATAAATTGATTTTGTTATTGTTGTTGATTAGTTATATTTTATAAAATATATATGTAGGTGAATATTTGGCGCATAAGCATTTAACAGAGATCGTCTTAGTAATCACGTCTTTTAAAAATATATTGATAGTCGTGATGCATTATAATGAATTCTACAAAGTTTCAATTCAAATTCAGTTTTGTAATTTTAATAAGACACCGCCCGTTGCATCGTGGTTCTTTATCAATGAAAGTGCGTGGTATACTTTATTGATAATTCAGTTATTTTTGGCATTAATAATGCCCTGTGCATACCTATAGTTATTTACTATTCAAACCAATGAAATTTGTGACTAAAAAAATACTAACATGATTGGTGAAGCTCTAATATAATGGTAGTATTAATATTTCAGGGTAAAATGTGTTGAGTGAAAATAGATACTCAATGAGGACGTCAGTAGTGTATATAATGTGTGTATATTGTGATGATAAACATTTAGTCTACAATATTATGGTGTTAAATAATATTTTTTTTTTTTATACTTTTTATTAGGTTATTCAACAATATGTACATAGTTATTACAATAGGCCGAAGAGATAAAAAATAATTTTTTATAAGTAGGTATGTAGGCGCGATAGAAGGGAGCATCCAGCGACGGTACTATTGCTTTTGTTGAATAATATATAATACTTAAAAATCAAAATGTGCTGAAAAATTTCCATTTTTGTGGTATTATTCGTTTATACTAGGCTTGATATAATATATTGATCAATAATAATATTAATTGTGTTACACCTCTACATTTGCACGGTTTAAGTTTAAATTACTCATCTCCTGCATATATGTGCCTATTTTTAATGGTAAAGTCGGTGATCCACATGCTTTTATTAAATGCCAGTCATGTATATAACGATGCTTAATGTGACTGCCACGTATTGAAAAAGTTACTATTTTTATTATGTACTCGGTACTGATTTTCAAAAGAGTATATGTACCCATCAGACCGCTTTAACGAGTTATCGTGCTACGCCTTCCAGTGACAAAGCGTGTCCGTTAAACCAGAAAATAATCATATATATTATATATATTTGTTTTCCGGATGACTGTATTCGTTACAATAATGCATTACATCAAACTTAATTCAGTTGTAAAAAATAATCTTTGCTAACGAGATTTTAAAAATATGTACTGCGAATATTATTCAATAATTAAAATGATAATAAAAAATAAAAAAATAATAGATACTGGCAATGTCAAAATTGTTTCGTATTTATTATTTTATGAGCTATAAGATAAATGGACTTTGCCGCCGAGTTGTATTTTTAAATCAATAGAAAAATATTTATATAGATTATTTTTTTCATATCATAATATATGTCCATTATGACGTATTCTATATTTATTAATACGATAAGCCTGCACATTATAGATGTAAATAATAATGATATGACAAATTACATTAAATATTTATTTGATACCCATTTTAAATTGAAATGTATAAAAAATAGAAATATAGGGAAGTTTTAAATGTTGGGCAGAACAGGAGTAGAGGAATGCATAGTGGCACAGTACACTGTGGCCTGTTTATTGATCCATCTGACAGATTTTATATATTTATCTAGATAGTAATTACACATCATACATATATTATTGCAAATTGTATTTATAATTAATATATAATGCATAATTTTTTTCATAGGATTTTTTGGCTATATTGTCCAAAGTTTCTCGAGGAAGTGTTCAAGAGAAACTTCATTGGATATTTGGATTATATGATCTCAATAAAGACGGAGTTATAACAAAAAAAGAAATGCAAGACGTAGTACATTCCATTTATAGCATGCTAGGGAGACATACTGACCCACACGTAGATGATCAATCTGCAAAAGACCATGTTGACCGGATTTTTCATGTAAGTGTCTTATAATTATTATGTTATTATTATTTAAGAAAGAGTTAAAATGTTGAAAGAGACAATAGGTATTTAAAGAAAGTAAGAAGGTACCTACGGCTATTATACATTGTACCCAGGCACTTAATTTAATTTAACCAAAAAAATACTATAATTTTATATTAGGTACTATAAAAAAAACAATTAATTTTCTTATCATATTATAATCATATTTGTGTATGTATTATAAATACACAATGCGTTGTAGATACCAAATTATGATACCATTTTTTTTTTAAATTTTTATTGGGCCGTATTTACATAATATTGATAAAATGAGTATATTGCGAATTGCGATCAATATATTGATCACTTTTTACACTGAAATACTCATAATTCATAAATAATATTAATACATATAATATATAAACGTAGGGCCGATTTGTTATTCAGCTTCAACAATAATAATAATAAAAGTCGTCATTCGGTGTTATTTGTTTCAGTTAATTGACAAAAACAATGATGGTAACGTGACTTTAGATGAGTTGATCGAATGGTGCAGCCGGGACGAGGGAATTCTCCAGTCGCTGGACACGTTGGACACTGTTTTGTGAAACGAGCCACGCTCGTCCGACGTGCGCGTGGGCACGAGAGACCGGGCGAGCCTGTTTAATTGGTAGACAGCCGAAATAAACTTATGTGGTGACGAGAAGAAACTAAATTTAAAAAACAAAAAACAATATACAAAAATATTAGATCAAAAAACTCCGCTAGACTCTCGCAGTGACCATCCACCCCTTTTGGGTTTTTTGAGAGGAGAATGTCAGAGTAACTTATCAATAACTTCTTGTCCCTATATGTCCCTACTCACTATGCATGCTCTTTATAATATTTTACAGTTCAAACATTGGTGAAATACCCAATAAATGAAAGGAGGGGCACTATCACAATACTTATCTCTATACGTATAGTAAATGCCACCCATATTCTCGGTGCACTTATTTAATTGATTCTAAGACCTTATAATATTATGACACGTGAACTGCAGTTTGGCAACAAAGTGAGAACTGTTTGCGAAGTTGCGAAGAGCAGTTTTGTTATTGTTTATGTAAGTGCCAGACAGAGACAACAGAATATAATGTTATATGCTGACGTAATTTTAACAATAATTGCTGTAGGCCGTCTATTGGATATAATAGTATGATGTACGTAAACCGGAAACAATCACATCGTTATAATAAACAATAATATTGTACTATAATATGCCACACACCACCGCCGGAAACGTGTCTATCAGTATACTCCATACTGTACCTAACCATATTGGTCTACTGTTATTGTTATACAGTTTTTTGTGCCTAAAAACAACACGTAATTTTTTGAGACCTATAATAATTGGCTTAAAACAAAATATTATCATGTATTTTTATCGATTTATTGACATTTAATAGAGTTTGCTGAAGTAATATTTATTATATGAGATAAAAAAAATTTTTGAATATATTTCTTTCGCAGTAATAATGTAGTGTCATACAATATGATATTTATATCGTCATTGTGAAGTTACTAATACTTAATATTATAATAATTCTGTTTGCTACAGGGTAATCTAAAAAGAGTGTCCAATTGTTCTTTTCATTGGATACTTCTTTTCACGTTATAAATATTTATAATAAATTATAATCAAACAAATTATAATATAGTAATTCTTAAACTTAAGTTCTACTAATTTGTTTGTTTCTATTGTATTTATTGGCATTGTGTTATTATTATTGTTATATCCACTGACAATAGTAATAACTATGAGATAATAGGTACCTAGTAGTTTTTTTTTACGCCGTTCGAATACATATAGGTTCTTAAATTAGTAAATGAACTAAAAATTCATACTTAAAATGGCCTACATTTATAGGTTTTAATTGTTTTTCTTATTCATAATTATTTCTTCTTTGATACGTTTGAAAATGTTTTCTTCAAGTTGTTGTGAAGATCAAAAAAAGTTTTAACACACTTAATGTTTTTATAGTTTATTACCCTACCTACCTATAGAGTATAGGTACAATATAGTTATTATTCATACATAAATGTATCAATCAATAAAAAAAATATGTATACAATTTTACATTTATTTTATTTTTCTTATTTATTGACCTCAAAAAAATAACCCGGCAGCTATAATATGGTCATTACAAATTTTCCAGGTGGGTTTTAAGGATGGTACATTTGAGTTATAATAGTGGAGTGATATTATTACTTATAATTATGATAATTACAGTATTTACAATATTTGCACATGTAATAAAAGAATAAGATTTTAAAATGAATATAAAAAGTTTAAGCTATAGCAATATAGCATACAAACAAAGGAAAGAATCTTACATTTATGATCGTTAATAAGGACATGAAAAACATATCAAAAATAAAACTCAAATAATGTGTATTTTCAATAGATCCAAAAAATACTATATAGGCAATATAGGTGTGCAATTATTGGTTTTATTACAATATAGATATTTATTGTATAACAATTCGTAAGAAGCAAAACACTATAGTTTGATTAAATAAAATTGTATTATTTTCTTTCAACAGTTAATGCATGTGTTGATATTATATTTACGAAATGCCTAGTTATCTATATTACAACTCTTATCGAAACCGAGCAAAATTAACTACAAAAACTAACAATGAACTCAAATTACATTGTGAGTAATTATAGTAATTAATGTCCGTTAAGTTTGTGTTTATACGAATTAAAGTAAAGTCAAAGAAAAACATTTAATGTCAAACTTAATTTATTGTTTACCTCGCCCAATCCCTATGTATAACTGAATGTCTAAGTAATAATGAGATATTAAAATGACATTGTGTTCACATAAATATATTTAATTACTAATAATTAATTTCAAACGTAAAATTGAATATATTAAATTATAAAATATGATATTATGTTCTACCTATAAAGTCGTTTGTAAAATGAACATTTAACATAATATTACAAATGTTACAAATATGTAAAATGTTCATGTAGACTACAACTTATCATATGTTGGAACTCTATATTTCACTCAATGAAAATAAGTTGTGCTTAAATTAATAAGGGGCTGTGCAGTCGGCTTTTATAATTTATATATACTAGGTAGGTATAGGTATTCTAATTTACCCCTTGATATTAGTATATTATTTATGTACACTTGCCGTATAGTATATTTATTCAGAAAATTTAAGCACAACTTATTTTTGTCTATATTTATTTTGATTTTTAAATGTATTATTATGTGAATTTATTGTATTATTATTATTTTTATTATTATAAATGCATATTATTGTACCTATGCCTTTTGAATATGTGATGTACTATTATATTTCAATGAAATCCATTGTAATTTATTGTAAATAAAAATTCTTCCATTATAATTGGTAATTTTGATAACAATTTAAAATCATTAATATACAATAATTATATAATAAAATACCTATATAATTAAAAATTAAAATTGTTTGAAGATTTTAAAATGTATATTCTATTTTTATTTCGACAATATTATAATACTAGCCATGTATGGTCAGTGGTCACCCATCCGAAAAATTATCAACTATAAGACATAGGCTTGACGTGTACATAATGCATAAGTACCTACATTTACAGCACTACACGCCTTAATACAAATAATATTATCACCACCCAATCAGTTTTAAATTAAAAATAACCTCAAAATTTCTTACCTACAATAATCATGTTAATGCATTGTTTTGCAAAACAATTAAATGAAAATTATATTTTCTTTAAAATTAATATCTATGTAGGTGGGTAGGTGCACTCATAACACTTAAAACAGGTATGTATAAGTTAAAATTTAAAAATAATAACTCTAATATTATCAAAATATATTTCAAGATGGACGTGTAAGTACTTATGTAACTTATTGAGGTATACTATACCACGCATGTGTCTTTTAAAGTTTCATTTTAAATGAGACACTCTGTTTTGCAATGTTAAAATAATAATACTTATACTTATGAATTCTGTTCCTATGATCATGTAGAGTGTTCGTTAAGGTATAGACCCTTTTTATTATTAAATTAGGTAGGTATAAATTTAACAGTTATTAAAAAATGTATTAAATTATATACCTGATCTATAATATATAGATAGACATTAGAGTATTAGACACTCAATGAGCGAAGCTAAACACGAATATTTCACCAATTCTTTTGAAAATAGTTATAAATTATAACCACGAATATAATTCAAAACACTATCAGCGTAGAAAGTATCAAAGATAGTTGATCAATTCCCCTTAGAAATTAAACAATTTTAAATTATAATTCATATTTTGCTAAATTATATTAGTTTATCTCACTCCAAAAATACAACAAAATTCCCTAGGTAAATATTTTAGATAATATTATGTAAACGAAAAAAACGAATAAACGAATAAGCCATTATGTGTGTGGTGTGTCTATTACGGTGTACGGTGTACCCTTAATATACCGTGCATCAAAATATCCTATATTCAAAATATCTCGTCATATTATCCCTTAATTCATATTTATATTTTTTTTATTTTTGAAAAATAATTTTATGAATTTTAGTTAATTTTTTTATTGTATTTGTGCAATGTACCGTGTCATCTTAAAATTAACTAATAATATTACTGGGGATATTTTGAATATAGGCTATTTTTAGTTGGGATATTTGTTACTGGGATATTTTTAACGGGGGATATTTAGAGGGTGCACCGTTATAGACACAGATAATGGCTTATTCGTTTATTTTATACGTTGCCTGATATGTTAAACAATAATTACCAATGGATTATCTATTGAGAAAAATTTATGTTATACTTCCTTACTTCCTTTTTTTTTTTAAATTATCTAGTTTAATAAGGTAGGTACTGAGTTATGACTTTATGAATATTATAATAACTATATGAACGGTAATGGTGGTATCTATGCAAAATATAATGTAAATATTAAAGTTTATGTACAAATGTAGGTACCTACTACCTACCTAGGAAAATGTTTGAAAAAAAGAGCAACGAAAAATTATTTTGACTCGTTCCCCAACGACTTAAAACCTAGCTATCAAAATTACAACTATGTATAAAAGTATGAGTTCTAGTTTCCCAAAACTAGGAACTCGTTTGCACACACAAGTATATATACAACACAAGTAATCGCACTCATATGCTCATTAATAATATACATACCTATTTCTATTCCTGAGCCTCGAAATTATTTTTTCAGCTGCAGTAAGGTACCATTCATACTTTTAAAAAATATTATTACGTGACAGAACTTGTGTGTTTTGAAAGATAAACATACGTCAACGTACACGACTATGTGTGAAACAATGCAAAATTGATGTAGGCATTAGGTAATAGATATAGGTAGGTACTCATTTATTACTTACATTCGGCAACTCATTAAAAAACTCATGTCCACGACTTCGAAAAAATGCTCAATTTTAAATGTTTTTCCCTTAATATAAAATTGTATGATGTATTTTATTCCTACATACTTTTTTTTACTGTTCACATTTTGATCAAAGTATAGGAAATGTACAACTTAAGACAATTCAAACTTAAAATATAGTTTTAATATATTTATACCTAATTAATCATATGTGATATTCTTGTGGCAGATTTGAGATTATATTAAATTGTATTATTATTTATTATATATTTATATGACCTTTAGGTAATACTGTAGGTATATAGGTGTATTACAATATCACGATGCGTCGACACGGCCAGCGATAAGTCTGACCGTATTGTCGTACTTTCGATTTCCCATTCCTAAATACAGCATGCCGGTGCCTGGTTGTTTCTATAATAGCAAATAAACTCTCGGCTATTCATAGGGACAGCAAAGTTGATCCTAAAAATGTACCTAGGATAATGATATTTCAAAATGTTAAGAGTCTAAGTAACATTGATCTAGTTATATAGGTATATAAATATTTAATAAAAAACTATGCACCTATACAAAATAGAATTATATTTCTGTGGTATTTTGGCATAAGGTTTACAAATTTCTACTAAAAATGTACAATCTCCCCTACTCCCAAAAAACAAATTCCTAATTACACCACTGGCCAGTGACTGGGTAAGACTGGTGAATGTGAGACGAAAAACATTCAAGCATTTAATTTTTTTTTCCATCAGCATTTTGACACATAGGGAAAATCTATCTGATTCTATAGTGGAATAAAAATAATTTGTTTTTATTTTTAATCTCTTAAAGACTTAAAAGAAAGAGCCGCGGACACCCATGGTACTCCGACTTGGTGATCTTCGACGTGAATATAATTCGAAGCAACAAATCGAAAACGGAGATTGAATATTATTGTAAGAATACAATAAGCATAACATTTAGAAAAATCGTTTTTAATAAAGTTATATAAGTTAAAACACCTTAATAGGATGTCAGCGCACTGTTTGTTTTCTTTCTCTGGCCCACGCGCGACGCGTAACTGACAAAACACACATAATCGATTTTTTTATGTTTTTGAATAATCTTAGAGTAACATCATCCATTACAAAAACGATAGATAATATTTTTTAGAGTATGACGTACCGATTACCTAAAGATGGTTTCAAACAATTTTAATACCATGCATTTAAATGTTCAAACTTTTTTTAAATTTTCAAGTCGTATACAAAGTCAATAATAATAAAAAAATAAAACCGATACGTCATATTCTCAAGAATATTATCATCCATAGTCATAGTAATAGATGATTTTACTCTAATATTACTCAAAAATTATAAAACATGATTTTAAGTGGAAGCATTTTATCCGTGTTGAGCGTTGGTCTGAGAGAGAAAACAAGTATTGCGCTAACATACTCCTAACAGCAATTAACACGTCACGCATGTAAAAGCAAATACTTAAAGGCCACAGCTTATAAGGCGACGGATACGACTTAATAATAATAATAATAATAATAATTTAGTACAACACAACAACACGGCAATAAGCTGCATGGCAAAACAAACATATTACAGGTACGTTATACATAACCAATTGTTTCGTCATGATAATAGTTGTTTGTACAGCCATTGCCGGTCTAGTCACAACTAGTAACTACCAAGTAACAACCATTCAAACGAGAACACATAAGACAAACGTCATCATTTGGCTTCTGTGGTGGCGGCGGCGACTGGAGAGGTTGTGTATTGCATTTGTACTTTGCCGCCATATTTAACAGCAATACAGCACTATCTGTGCGCGGCGCTACTCAGTAAGTTGTACACGGTCGGTCGTCGAGCGTTACGTCAGCGACGGTCACAGTGCCGCCTCGCCGGAAGAACCAAATTGTCTCACGACGCGGAAGACAACGTACGGCGCTTCGGGGAAATTCACGGACAGCTTGCAGCTAAACGATTTCGACCCACACCTCCTACCATACCCTCCCCACCAAAGTCACAACTGGCGGGTGAAAACGCGGCCGGTTCGTCGTCATCGTTCACCGGTACCAGTGCGGGCAACTGGACGGGCCGATTTCACCTACACTGTAAAAAGTGGTGATACGAACATTTTTTGTAACCTTTCATTATTTACGTGAACTTTTTCGCTTTACGTATATTTTTTCCTGAAAAAAAAAATGGTGTATCTCGTTAGGCGTTAGTGAATCGTGTTTTGATTATTATTATTTTTTTTTTGTTTTCGTTTGCTTGTTCTCTAAGTATCATAATCGTACTTTATCCGCCGACAGTCTTACCGGCGTTCGGTGAATCGCCTACGTTTCAATTTGGTTTTTCCGAAACGGATAAAACGATACGCCCGTCCATTGTTTGTGCAACCGCTCCGAGACGAGTCGTCTGTTTCGTCAACAAACGCTAAACAGTCTGTGAGTAAACCAACACTTTAAATACGTTTGCTATTGAAACACGTACGAAGTATTATTTTGTTATTAAAATAAAAAAACCGATATAATTAACAGTTTAAAATGAGTGATGAGAGCAATCCTCGTACGCTATATGTTGGTAATTTAGACCCATCAGTCACCGAAGAGTTGCTATGTGCATTGTTCACTAATATTGGTCCAGTTAATGCATGCAAGGTAATACGTGAGCCAGGCAGTGATCCTTATGCGTTTCTTGAATTCGACACTCATTCGGGCGCGGCTACAGCACTAGCCGCAATGAATGGTCGACTCTTCTTAGACAAAGAGATGAAAGTCAATTGGGCCACAACACCTGGCAATCAGCCTAAGCTTGACACAAGCAACCATTATCATATATTTGTTGGTGATCTAAGCCCTGAAATTGAAACACACACTCTAAAAGAGGCATTTGCGCCATTCGGGGAGATTTCCAACTGCCGTATTGTACGAGACCCTCAGACTTTGAAATCTAAAGGATACGCTTTTGTATCATTTGTTAAAAAATCTGATGCTGAAAATGCTATAAATTCAATGAATGGTCAATGGCTGGGTAGTCGGAGCATCAGGACAAATTGGTCAACAAGAAAACCACCTCCACCTAGGGCCCCAAACAAGTACAGTGGTTATCGAGCAGTGACATTTGATGATGTCTATAATCAGTCCAGTCCAACAAACTGTACAGTATACTGTGGAGGCATTGTTGAAGGCTTAACTGAAGAGCTAGTTGAACAGGTGTTTTCACGCTTTGGTACAATTGTTGAAATTCGAGCTTTCCGAGATAAAGGATATGCGTTTATTAAATTTTCAACAAAAGAAGCAGCTACAACCGCCATTGAGGCTGTACATAATACAGAAATAAACGGTCACCCTGTTAAATGTTTCTGGGGTAAAGAGTCAGGTGACCCAAACAGTGCAGCTAATCTAGCTGCGCAGGCTGCAGCTAGTACAGATACTACTGGTCAATACTCATATAATATGGCATATAATCAAGGAATGAATTACTGGTACCCATATGCTCAAATGCAAGGCCAATATGTGCAGGGTATGCAAGCCAGCTATGGTGGTGCTGCTGCATACAGTCAATATACTGGATATCCCTATCAGATGGCAAATGCCACTGCTTATCAAATGGGTAATGGAACAGGACAAGCTGCTAATGGACAACAGATGTCAACACCAGCCAATATGCAAGCTGGAGTTTACTCAATGCAGTATCAAAGTCAGTGACAACCGATAAAATAGATTTCTTTAAGTGTTGAAATCTTATAAGTTTTCTCATTTGTGCTCTGTATATAAATCTAAAAAAATACTAAAATATTAGAAAACAGATGTATGAAAATAAAAATTATAAATTTAATTTAACCCGCTGTTCCATTATTTATAGCACATTTATGGCCCCATTGTAAGTTAAATTTTTTATATAATTTTGTCCCCCAGTCTTTAATAATTAATATATACCTATATATATATATTTATATATATGTGTGTGTATATATTTTTTTATTTATATTTTATGTAAATCAATATCAATATTTAATATGTATATATATATACATACATACATATATATATATATATAAATACTAGATTAGATTATTACAATACATTGTTAATTCCATCTAGTGTAACTACAGTATGACATTTTATTAATAGGATGTTAGGCATACATTTTATTATATTATTTTAGATGTTATTTCTATTGTAAGGTTGTAAAAATTATGAAGAACCGAGTGCGTTCACCATTTCAGTTCACTCAACTGCGAATTTTGTGTAATTATAACTATGCTATAAACTATTCATGTATTTGTTGTGTTATCATAATACCTAGTTAAAAATAACTTAATTATAATAACTAATGTTTAATTGGAATTAGGTGTCTGAGCTGAATATAAAACACTTTGTTGACAACATAATTTGTATAAAATACAATAGATTCTTGTATTTTGTATACTGGTACAAACAATTAAAACTGATTAATCATAAAATATTTTGTGAGAAACTGTGACTTACAAATAAATTAAATATATAAAATAATTTTTTACAATACTATTATAGTTAATATATTTAATATTGTGTATTATTGACATGTTTCATTAGGTGTCTGAGATTCATTTGTAGTTGTATTTTACATTATTGTGTGAACCCTAAAGGGCTGGAAAGATGTTTAAGTCTAATAAAAATATTTACCGTGTATTCATTATCTATTAATAATAATCAATACACTATATCAAATATGACTGTTTTATATTCAAATCATTTTTCAATAATATCCTTATGCATACTTTTTGCAAGAAACAAAGTATTTTGACTCATAAATGCTTTCAGGATGGATAATATTTGTTCTTGCATTGAACAACGCCTGAAGAATAAAGAAATGCCACACAAGTGATTGGCTTTTATCAATGTTGTGTTCCATTAGGTACCTACGTTCAGTTTGTTTAGTAGAGTATACTATGTTTTATCCATTTTGTTTTATTGTCTGTTGTATTGAAGAAATTAAATTTCACTATTTGTATTAAATAGATACACCATTTAGTTTGCAGCCTACCATGTTTTGAAAAACCATTTGTTTTCAGAAAATGTATGGTTATTGGTCATTGAAGAACACATTGAAATGTTATTCTGAACATTTATTTCAATCGGATTTTTACAAATTGGATATTACATACTATATTAGTCAGTGCAATTAATAATAATAACACTGTTTAAAACAAAATATTATAACATACTGAAGGGAAACAAATGTTTCAGAGTAAATGCCCTACTATTCGCTCAAACTTCTGTGTGAACTAAGACAGAGTACTATATGGCTACTTATTATAGGCTACTTCCTACTGGTGGAGGCATTTATTAAAGGTAATTGGTATATTTTTCTTTTTATTTTATTAGTATTCTGAATTATATTTTATTAATCAAACATTTGAAAGAATTTGAACTGTATGTTTATTTTTATTTTTTTATAGAAAGTTATTTTCTATAATCAATTAAGTATACATATACTTTTTAGATTCTAATAAAGCTTTCAAATTAGACTCTGTCTGTGTTATTAACATATTTAATTGGCCTGTAGTAGGTGTACATAATATGATATTTAATCTTATTAATATTAGTATAAATACCTATAAATAACTTATAAAATTATACATAGTTGCCTATACACTTAACAAAAATTCTTAAATCTTCAACATTTTAATTATAGAAATAGTTTTTTATCTAATATAGGTTATAATATAATATATATTATATATATCTCAAGTAAAAAATGTTAAATGAATATAATCTGGTTACTTCTCTAACTATAGAAAAGTAATCCTATGTTCCTCAATTTAACAGATTATACCCAAACCGGATGAAGAAAGTTAATAATCAAATTCAGAATTGGAAATTGTCTATATAAATTTTACAGGTAAATTCAACATTATCTATGTTTTAATGTAATAATGTTGTATTAAACTCTTTATTTTTAAAAGTATAAGGCTATGCTATTATGATATTGTTTATAAATTACATTCTATATTTTCGTATTATTTTGTGTGTTTAAAATGTGGTATTGACTGAAATTTCAACATATATTTATTTTTATTTGGTATTTATATAATAAGTTATTATTCTTGTATAAATTACTCAATTTAAAAATAATATACCTATTTATTTTATCATTATTATAACTAGTTAGATAATATAAAAAAATTATTCCTATATGTATGTGTTAGTACTTAGTTATTTCTAAAATATTTTAAGAAAAATATTAATACAAATCAAGCAATAAATAATTGACACTGGTATATTTTTGTTTTAGCTGAATGTTTAAAAATGTAAATACTTGTTCTAAATAAGTAATTTAAGAATTAAATTGGGTTATTATTAAATAACAATTGTTTTTATTTTATTTATAAATTCTTTTATTGTTGAACTGGTTCAATATTAAATGCTGACACTAAAGTGCAGTGTAATGTGAATATTACATGTATTAATTTATCAATTAATATTAAATTATTATACTATACATAAAGAAAAAATGTTCAAATAGCCATCACGGTTTTAAGTTATAATGTGCTGTAACCAACAAACAAGTAAAGTTTCTTATTACATTTGTGTAGCTTAAATTACCTTACAAGTTATATGGTATAACATCATTGAAAACATGAACGATTGGTATTATTTCTAACTTTAAATTATTATTATTTATATATTCATTTTAGAAGTAGATAAATAAAATAATAAACTAACAATGCTTTAATAGTAATTCTTATGTAAACTAAAATCTTCAACAGTTTATTATCAAATAATATAGGTTTATAGCAAAATAAGATATACCTACTTATTTGAATTTATTCTTAAACAGTTAAGAGTTTTGATTAGGTACACAAATTAAAGAAACATTTAACCTATAGAATATCATTGTATGTTTCTATTGAATTATACAGAGTGTAACAGGAAAACATGACAAATAAAATAACCTGTTCTAATAAATATTTTTTAATTTTTTTATATTTAATTTATTGACTCGTACGCTATACATATATGTAGAAGGTATAACCTTTTTTATTTTTCAGTACTGAAATAAAAAAATTGTAAATCTGATTTTAGAAAATTTGGTTGTAAAACATATATGTGTGTCAAGTGGTTTATTTTAAAGGGGATTGGAAGCGGTGATTTTCTGTCTTTGTCTAACACAAAGGCAACATAAGAATTTAGACGTGTTTTTATCCATAACCTTTGCGTGTTTTTTTGTCTAACGTACCAATTGCTCCAGTAAAGCAATAAGAATTCTGAAAAAAAGATTTGAATTCTTCGTCAAGTCTTCTTGAGAATGATCAGCCCACATTTTTGAAAAATTCTAGTCATTTTATTATTAAAGAGTATTTAAAAAATTGTCATATTTCAATTTTTGGAGAATTTAAAAATGTAGACTTGACTAAAAATTCAAATCTGTTTTTAGAATTCTTATTGCTTTAATAGAGCACTTGGTACGTTAGACAAAGATAGAAAATCACCGCTTCCAAGTTAAACTTCTTTGAATTTAGAATATTTTTTTTTTCTATTGGGTCAACATTACTTTTATTTAAATAATGAGATTTCAAAAAATTGTAAAATATAAAAATGTTACACTAAACATATAATGCAAGTTTCTGTAACTGATAAAATAATAAAAAATATTGACTATAACAAAAGTTATTTCATTTGTCAGATCTTCCTGTTTAATGTTACATTTATTCTACATAATGTAATGAAGTCTTTTAACTCTTGCCAGAATAGTGAATAGAATTGAAAAATGACCGTATAATCTCACCCCACCTCCTTAAAAATAACCATAATAGTTGTTTTATTTTTTCAATACCTAACTTGTTAGTAAATTATACATGCAAATTTCTCAATCATAAATTGAAATCCAAAACTGGTTAATAATAAAACATTTAAGTCATTAATTTATAAAGTAAAAATTACTTGGAATTAGAATCTTATAATGTATAATTGTGTATTATTTATTGCATACTACAGTATTTCAAATGGATGACTATATGACTTTATACATGTTTTTCTAGGTATAAAAAAACTGAAGTAGGTACAAAAGTAAAATTTAAATTAAAGTTTATCGAAATATTATAATTTAAGCAATATATTTTTAGTATACTGTGTAATTTATAAATGGTTATTTTCTATGTATAAATCTACATTTTTTCAAAAGTAAAAACTATTATGTACCTACGTATAATGACCTTATATGGCTATATTGTATTCAATACCATAAGTTGAACAAGCATGAAATATTGAAATAACCAAATAACCCATACAAGCATCAAGGTTGTCAACGGATCAACCTACAGAAATTGTATTTGAGGGACTGAACAAACAGATTATGACATTTATAATTTATTGATGATATTTTGTCCCCTTAACCACCTGTCATAATATGAGCACCAAAAGACATAATACAATCAACATGAGTGTATAAAATACTCGTATTCAAGCCATAATGATATAGCAAAAATCTGAAAAATCCGAAGGCCATTCAACTTGGTAATCAGCCAGACTAGGGATACGTCTGTTACTACTACTCATTAAATTTACCTTTTATATTTTCAATTTATATCTTAATATCTTATTACTTCATATATTTTAATATTGTATAGACACGCTATAATCTTTACATTAATTATTTATTATGTATTTACTTATTAATGATAATCTAATGTGTTGTGGTTACTGGTTTCTATAAATACATCCATATCCAAAATAAAATAAAATAACTTTTAATAAGTCTGAAGGCCCCTGAGTCCTGAGCTCTGTCACAGGTAAGAGTTTATATAGCAAAATCTGATACCAGTGATAAATTATAATACTTAAACCCTGCACAGGGA